GAGTTCTTCTTTCTCCACTCTATAAGAGCTCCTGAGTACACAGGTGTCACCTGAGACCTTTTAATCCCAGCTACAGGATGATGGAGCATTTATATCAGCTGCTTTGCCTGATCCAAATCACGCCAGGAAGATCCTACTCAGGAGTTTGTGGTTAGTAATAGCCAATGTTTTCTGGACCCCAGTTTCGCTAATGACCGTACACAGGACTTCCTTCTACTGCTACTTGTGAAAGGGGAATATAATTACATTATGATTACATTCTCTATGTTATGGAAAAAAACTCAGTAGAAGTGGATAGGAGCTTTGGTTTCAGAGAGACCTTTGGGTAAATGAAGTGAATGTAAATAGCTGCATATATTGTATTAGTTTATTATATGGAAATCCATGCTCAACTCATAATCATGCTAAGCTGATATAATGCCACACTATTTAGTTTAAAATCAAAAGGCTAAAAAATTAATATATACGTGCCCTGTACACTGCAAATCCAAGTTTTAAAAGTATGTTTTCTTGTGCTAAAAAGGAATAATTACCTGCTCTAGTGGAAGGTGTCCCTGCCTGTGGCAGGGGGTTGGAACTGGATGAGCTTTAAGGTCCCTTCAACCAAAAACACTCTATGATTCTATGAAAACCACACTTTTCCTGGAGGAAATGTACAGAAAAGACAGGTCACTTTGCTTCCCTTGTGAAGGAACCTCAGGAAGATCTGCTGAGATGAACCCTCAGCCCTCCAGGTGTGGGAAGAATTGTGAAAGGAAAAGAGTAGGTGCTTTGAGTGTCTTCCTTCAAGGATACTAAGATGCCATGTCCCTTCCAACCCAGACTATTCTATGATTCTAATCTATGATAATATTCTTTGAAATCACTCAGAAATGACCCAGGCAGACCACCAAAAATCCTGAAAGACATTTTCATCTTCCCCTATTCTCTTAGTTTTTCTTTGGCCACAATAAATACTCACAATTTAGGTTTTGATGGGGTTTGGGATCGATGCAGTTTGACAATAAAACCCCATCCATTTATTTATTTATAGTAAAATAAGTCCACTGACATCTTAGCATCTTACAGTGCTGTGTTCCCCTCCCCAGCTGGCTCAGTGCCGTACGTTGTATAGCCTGGCACACAGTGGGGACACAGGGACCAGGAGTGACATGTTTACAGATACCTTGTCACTCAGTAATGGAAAAAGAAATGTGCACATTTAATTCTGATTAGGTTTTTAAACCTGAAAAACAAACTACTACTTGTACTTAGTCTACTCTTGCATCTGAAACCAGCCCCTGCTCCCTAATGTGTCTTTGTAACTCAGCTGGTTCTTTCTAGCTGCCCATGTAACCAGGATGGCAGCAAGTAGATACATGCAAACTGTCCCCAAAAAGAAGGGGTAGAAAACACACTGATGTAAAAATGATCTGATTTCTTTTCAAACATTCTTTACCAAAAATGCCATTTCTGCACATGGTTTTCTTTAATCCTGTGAAAATACTTAGCAAAAGGCTCTGCAGAGCAGGACTTTAGCCTGTTCTTGCAACTTCCTGACACTGTCCCACAAGAGGGCACAAATATATCAGGTGTCCTACTTGAAAGTCAACAACTTGACACCACTGCATCTTGTGCTGCTCCTTATGGTGATGGACAACTAAGGATGGCTTAAAAATACAAAGCAAACAGCAAGAGTAAGTGGTTTCAAAATCAATACAAGAACGATCAAGTAGCAGAAGAGTACTTGTTATCTGTTCATCAAAATGATGTGAAAAGACATTCTGTGCATCCAGAATTTAATTTAGCTACTTGCTTTATCATCATAAACACTCATTTCAATATGGGCAATGATTATTTTTTTCTTTCCAAACATGAATAATATATAATTGCTGGTATTTTGGAGGAGACAAGGTCTTTACCTTTATCCATCACGGCAATTTATCATTGTCTTTCTTTTTCTTCTACAGTAGGGAGAGAGCTTGTCAGCTCAGCTTGTTCTTAAAAAGCTGGAGTGTAATTCAATAATAAATTCACTCAAAGGCTAGCTGTCACGAGGCATTCATTTATTTGTACCCATTAGGTGATCTGCACTGCTGTTCTCTCTAAAGGGAAGCTAAGCTGTGTTTCTGAAGGCCAGAAAACATATTGCATAGAAATGCAGTCACCTCCTTCATGCTGCTGCTACTTCTGCATCGGCCATACAGGAATGCCAATATGCTGTGTTTCCCTCAGGGGTGATAATCAGCCAGCCAGGGCCTGGGAAAGCCCTGAGGAGCAGGCTGTGGTTCCTCATCTTAACGAGGAGTGTGCCTGTGCCATAGGGGCTGTGTGTCTGCAGGACATCAGATGTGCAGGAAACAGAGGTCCACGTCACCTCTGTGTTGCCTGCTCATGAGGGACTGCTCACAGCAAGTGGCATGGATTCAATTCCAATCCTACTCCATCAGAGTGATGGCATTGGGACAGAAAGATGTAGGATGTTTCATGTCCAGCAATCTACAGTCCTATGTAGTACTATGTAGTCCTACAGCAGCAGCAATAGAAGGGTGGTCCTACAGCAGCATGCTGGAGGAGAGGCCTATCCTAATAATGGAATCCTTCATCAGAACAAAAGATTTCCTGCTCTCCCTCTCGATGGGACAAGCTATTACACCAGCAGCTGGAACGAGAGGTGGAAATGGCTGTGATCTTCATGAAGACACTGAGGAGTTCCATGGATAAGAGGGATACTATTACGTGTTTGTTGTAAAGGCAACTGGAGGAGATTCAACAGTGAGCATGCTACTGAACAAAGGGCGTATCTACACATGCAAATGCAATCAGTCTCATTTGCCCAGACTAATTGGGTCCCAGATGGTCCCAGCCCATGCTCCTCCACGGAGCAGTCACTGTGTGACCTCTGCCACTTCCAGCGTGACAAGAGACATCTGTTCAGAGGTTCAGCTCTCTAGGTGGTGAAACCAGACAATTGAAACTGTGAAGAGAAACCATGGCAGGGGGTTGGAACTAGATGATCTTAGGGTCCTTTCAAACCCAAACCAGTCTATGATCCTATAATTCTATGATCTAAGTAAGCAGAAAACACTTGCAATGGTTGAGTTTATCCAGACCTACAGGATCTTTAGGAACTAACAGGAACCCACACTGTGTTTTAAGATCTCAAAATGTCATTTTTAGCAACCCAACAGACTGATGAGCCTGGAGTGTGTGCTGTGGTGCTGTCTCAGGGCAAAACACACCTCCTGTTGAGGTCCTTCAGTGCTATTTGCAACTGCTCTTGCGATGAGTCAAGATACTTAATGTGAGAGATGCAATACAATCACAGCTTGAGGTGACATATCTGTAGACCATATTTAGTGATACGCACCCTATGCTGGTATTTTAAGAATGGCAAACTCATAAATCATCCCTATATCTGTATAATTCTTTGTGTTACCTTAATGGAACAAGGAGCCCCATTTATTAGTTCCACTGCACTTAATGAAAAGCAATCATTAAACCCTTTCCCATTGATTTGAATCTTTGCATTCCCTCCCTCTAGTTAATCTATATGCCAGATACACATTTCTGCTAGCAGGTGCTCCTTTTGAATCCTGAATCTTCTTCCTTTTAGCAGGACATCTACAGATGACTGGTAATTCTTTCCTATATAGAGACCTATCATCAGATTGGATGTAAATCCTGCAGCAGTTTGTGTGACTCTATTTTATATTCCAAAGCCTGATTTTACAGCAACAAGTCGCAACAACTGAAAGCAGAGAATTCACTGTGCTAACATTTAGACCAGAGTCTGGACTCTTCAGCATCCAGAACCTGCAACCTTCAGAATGCTGATGAAGAACAATAGTTTGTGACATAATGAGTGTTTGGCCTTAGTCTGAATCACTGTTGTCAGCTTTCTTGGACCCCGAAGGGCTTGGCAGCAAGACAAATCAGGGAAGCTATCACATCAGGCCAGCTCCCTAACACTGGTGTGCTTCTAAGTGGTTCATGTCTGAGGTCAGCCTGTGGACTGCTAGAGACAATGACATACAGGAGGTGGTACCCAAGGGATGCTAGAGATGTTCCTTTGTGGAAAAGCACTAGGTCAGGCCAAGAATGGCCTGAGAGGCCTGCTGAGATGCAGGTGCTGAAATAAATACCCACACAAACACGAGGCTGGTACATTTTCAGTGTCAACTTATTCATTGCTATGTGAGGGAAAGCTGAAAATAAGCAGTTAATAATGACTGTATGGAATTCAATGAAGCCAAAATCTAAGAACCACCTCCTGGCTCAGGGTCACCATTTCTGAAAGGCAACATTCAGGGCAGACACAGAATGATCTAAGAATCTCACTCCACAGGGTATGTATTATGGTGTCCTGCTACATGATTTTAAAGGGATGACCTCCCCTGACAGCCAGGCATGTACTTAAATGCCTGAGATGCAGGCACAGAAGTGGCCTGTGTAAGATTTCTTTGCCAGTTCCTGTTCTTGATGATGACTGCAGTGATAAAGAATGTCTCACTATTAAAACCAATCTATATTTGAACTGATTGTTTATACTGGAATCACTGTAATAGCCCTTCCTAGTCTGTAAGATTGTCTTCAGTTCTTCTGAGGTCTCTGCTAGTCACACTGTAGATTGTAAATACCATTTTGGTTTCCCTATATTTTGGCTCTGTCAATGGAAGAATGTCTGCTGTTGCTGTTTATGAGAGACTTGTGGAAAATATCAGTCACTTGAACTAGAAGAGTCATGTTGAACGGGTGGCGTTCATGTCTTGAAATAAAAGAAGGCAGGAAAGATGCAGCTGCCCATATGCATTGGGAGAGACACATCTTGTCTTAACTGCTGAAAGGACACTGCAGATGAGGAGACAGCCAGCAGAACTCCATCAGCCACAAAATTCCTCAGGTATCTACTTCCCTTAGACATCTTTTGGTGTTCTGCATCTTGTTGCCGTTCCATGTCTTACAATGGCCAAGTGGTTTACGCTTTACCTCTTACCGAATCAAACCCAAAATTCACTCACCCTCCTTCAAAAGGATTGTCTCCTGGGATGACGTGAGTGCTGTCCTTGCCGATGAGGAACTTGATCCGATCGTAGAACGAATGCAGGCTCTGCTGGGACACAGGGGCCTGTGTCTCCTGGATGATATCCAAGGGGTCTGGGGAGCCCAGGCACAGTGCATTGATGTGGCACAATGGCTGCAAGCAGCAGTCTGGGTCCATGCAATCCACCAGGCCATCTGCAGAAGGGTAAGGAAGATTTTAGAGCAATGGCAACAGAGAGTGTTGTAGACTTCAGGGTGTAAGATCATTTTCCAATGTACACAATAGAGAAATGTGAATTTACACCTTCATAGAGTAAGGCATGTTCCCTTAAAGTCCCAATAAAGGACCTAGAATGTGCATTAATATGTAACATTAATATGCATTAATATGTAACATTAATATGCATTAATATGTAACATTAATATGCATTAATATGTAATATATGAAAACACACACATACAGATGAGATTAGACCCTAAAAGTAAGCATCTTTGAGGTTAATGCTGGGTATACCATTTCACATCCCAGTCACTCAGATAACTCTGGAGCCCCAAAAGGTGGGGTTTTTTTTCCTGCAAATATACAAATCACTTTTGTGCACTGATTCTATTCCCTGTGCAAATCAAAGGCACATTGCACCATACCACAGAATCATAGAATCCCAGACTGGTTTGGGTTGAGCTCATCCAGTTCCAACCCCCCTGCCATGGGCAGGGACACCTTCCCGAGAGCAGGTTGCTCCAAGCCCCTGTGTCCAACCTGGCCTTGAACACTGCCAGGGATGGGGCAGCCACAGCTTCTCTGGGCACCCTGTGCCAGCGCCTCAGCACCCTCACAGGGAAGAGCTTCTACCTAATGTCTAATCTAAATCTTCCTTTTGTCATCTAAAATCCATTCCCCCTTCTCCTGTCACTACGTGACCTTGAATACCAAAGCTATTTGGGTTGCTTGCAGTTGGAATAGTGATTAAAGCCATGGTATCTACCATTGCTACAGAGAGATATATACATATAAACCCACTAAAGATTCTAGCTAGATAGATGAGAAAGTAAGGGAGATTTTCCTGGGAGGGTTTGATATCTGTTGGGCTCTGTCACATTTATTCCATGAAGACACAGAGAAACAGATGACCTCAAACTCTCAGGATATAAATCTTGTACTTTCAGCAGCACTGAATTAATAACAACAACAATAATAGCATTAGAAACACATAAGAAAAGCTTGCCAAGTATACTCCAGTAAAACAAGGGTTTTCATATCTGTCAAGTCATCAGATGCACGGACAGTAGTACTTCCCCTCCCACCACCATAGCAGCATTCCCTAGTTCATTTTGAGATGTCTCCGTTCATTGCCAACAGCTTAGTTAAAAGCAGTGACAGGAAAGGAAAACCAAAGAAAAGCTCAGAAGAGGTTTGATGAAGCATGGCATTTAGGAATAGAAGTTGTTAGCATGTAGTAGAGGTGGACCTTTAAATCAGATTAGGGAACTGGATAGTTTTGTTCTGGGGTAATGGGATATGAAGCCCTTCACTTCCAACTCATCAGTTCAAGCAAGGCAGTTTGACAGTGAATGCAAATTGTTACCATGTGGTGGCTGTTCACATTGGCATGTTCACCTATGTGAAATGAGTGCTGGGTCTCAGTGTAGTTGCTGGGAGCTCCATGTATCAGAGAAACCACCTTTACAGCTAGCACCTTACTAACCATTTCAGCACAGAGGCAAGAAATGAATGTGCTGAGATAGCAACACTGTCCTGAGAGGTAGGTCTGTCCTGAAGTGGGATGAGATTTAGAGTTGTCAGGGACGAGATTTAGAGTTGTTAGGATAATGTATTTTTTATTTCAAAGAAACAGTAAATTAAAACAAGACAATTCGTCATTATCACAGATTGTGAGCTTCAGTTTCATCCCAGTTACACCAGTATGTTAGAGGTGCTTTCATTAATGTTCTTGACACTACTTTGAATTTAATATAAGTTGGGAATCTGATCTGTTATTATCACTCTGGTACTTACGATGGCTTACATGCCATGGACTTAGATTCTGTTAATGCTCCATTCTTGGAAGATTTTAGTGCCATAAAACATCACTGGAACATCAGTTCAAGTCGTTACCCATATACCATCAACCGAACAAAAAGCCTGTTCAGTGTTTGCAGAGCTTCTAGTCTGCTTGGGGGTCAAAATGCAATGAATATCTGCTCCATGTAGTTATGTACACTCACACACAATGAGTAATTTTCACAAGTGCTCTACACCTGCTATTAATGACAATGGGAGCAGTATTAGACTAGCAAAAGTGCTTTTGAAATCCCATCCATTATCCTTACCTCTGTTCTGATACCTCTATATCTTTGTAACTCCTTGCAAAATTGCCCCCAGAATTTCCAGCTGGGGCACAAAACCTGTCCATCTGTTTTTTTCTCTTGATGACCGGTGATAATGAAATGGCTTTATTTGCCCATTAAAAATATGACTTGTTGCAGATGATTAGGCCAGTAGGATCCTGGAAGGTCAAATCTCAGATGGAGTCTGAGAGACCGTTCACAGAATGAAAACCTGGGTAGATGTAATATACTTATCCATAGAAAAAGAAATGGGAAAGAAACAAGAAACCAGGCCTGTTACTGTATTGACTACAGCTTCAAGCAAGATAGAACGTTGTCATTTTCTCCCACACATTAATAATGCTTTCTAAGGCTACAGACACTCTGCTGAGGGGATGGCAAACCAGCTGTGCCATAGCTCTTCATTACCCTGTCTTTTATTTCAGGCACTGGAAATGTGTTTTGGGACCTGAAGCTGCAAGACAGCAGGAAACAGTAGATAAATGTTTGAAGAACAGATGCACAGCACAAGGTTTTGTATAGGTGGGAATGCTGAGGACTCATCTGCAGATAAGCCTTTCAACTGATGTGTTCCAGGCCTGGACGGAGTAAGTTGAGGGTAATTACAAAGAGGTTTGTCACTGACATCTTAATGTCACCAAGGTCCTCAAGAACTCAGATGGGGTTTAGCTACTCAACTCCATCTAACATCAACAGCAGTTTCAGGGCAAAGCATTTCTTCAGCTTAGAAAATGTAAGGGCCATATTTGCCTGAGTCATGTAGAACAACAAGAGCTAAGCTACAAACCACATCATAAATAGTAATGTCTCCATCTGAATATTGTTTGCTTGTGGATTTTTTCTTATTGCATGGTCCATAAGTGAACCAAGTGGTGCCCTACAGTGAATTGTAAGGAGATGTAATAAAACTGTACACAGCTACGACTTCTCATGCCCTGAGATCTCTTGCTGGATCCATCAGAAGAGTGAGGATAAAGTGACACTTGTAAGAAGCTCCCTGCCCATGAAGAGCAATTGTTCAGGGAGCTGCATGGATTAACAAAAATAACATCAGAACAAAATAAAACTCATGTTTTAATGGTCCAAACAGTCAAAAACAAATGTGGGAAGGAGAATATAGCAAGGTATGATCTCACAGAACAATGTCAAGTCGGAATACAAACCTCCTTTGAAGTGTATAAAGCAAAAAGATGGATTTTCCTTAGGAACCGCTGCACTTTTTTCAGAGAGAGGTAACTGAAGGAGGTGAACATGGGATCAGTGGCTTCTGCACCCCAAGTTTTGCAGCAGCAAAGCCACAGAGACCCATGATCCATGTGTGGATTCCTAACTCCTGTAGCTCCAAGAGTACAGATACACAGCACTGTGTTCTTAGTTGTGGACAGATTTATACAGCTCTGGGTTTTCAAAAGGGCAGCTCCCTTATTCTACATACAGCCATAACACGTCCATGGCTTTTCAGACCAGAGAACAAATGTGTTGCTGAATTATCTCCATGCAAGGTTTAAAGTGTTGCTTAGAGGGATTACAGTGATTCATACGCTTTAAGGTCAAAAAGGCTACTATGATCAGCTTGTCTGACCTCTTATATATACAGGCTGTTCATTTCTTTTCCCTCAAGAGCTGAATTAAAGCCTGTCTTTTAGAAAGATATCTCATATATCAAAGACAGCTGATTACAGTGAGTCCACCACTTCCTCTGGAAAGCTATTCAAATGCTTAATTACTGCTAGGAAACTGCATCTGATTTCAAGGTTGAATGTCTCTAACTCCAGTATCCCACCACTGGAACTTAGTTTGCCTTTGTCTGCAAGGTTACCAATGTTTTCTTATGCCCTACATGCTCAGATGTCTTTCCATGTGCAAGTCCCTCCACACAGAGCAACAATCCATCCCAAACCTTTTCTCTGAACAGCTGAGGAAGATTAAACTTCCCACCATAAGGTCTATTTTCCAGTGGCTGGATACTGTGTGTAGCATCCTTTGATCTCTTTCCAGTAATTTCACATATTTTGGAATGGATGTGTGAGCACCAACACTGGACACAGAACTGTGGCAGCAGCAATACTGGGTACAGAAGAGAGACCACATCCCAGCTTTGGGGGGTTTTGTGTGTCTAAGGTTCACAGCAGCCTTTCAGCAACAGCCTTGCACTGAGAACTCATGTTGAGATGATGATCTCCAGTGACCTCTAAATCCTGTTCCGAGTCATTGCTTCTCAAGACTCTCACAACCCATAAGTGTAACGTGCTTTCCTGGTTCTCAGGGGTATTATCTTGTGTTTTGCTGCATTAAGACACATTTGGTTTGACTGTGACCTTGTCATGATGTGAGTCAGGTCCCTGTATCCCAATGATCTGGGCACGCTATTCAGCACCGTCTCAAGCTCTAGGTGACATGAAGCTTTTGCCAAGAGACATTTAAACTACGTTTGAAGACAAGGCTGAAAATGCTGAATAGGGTTGGATACAACAACCAGTTCCAAGGGATCCCTTCAGAAACAGCTTCAATCATGAGTGCCTTTCAGTTAACAAATTCATTTGAAGATCTGTCACTGAGCCAGATTTTAAACCATCTCTTGTGTTCCTTATTATTTCCATGTAATAAGAGTTTTCACACCTTTAGGATGCTTTATGAATCCTCTATAGACACACGTGTCCTTTTGGCAGTCCTGCCAAAAATAAAGCTCCTTTGTCACACCTCCTTTGTATAAAGCCATGAAATAAATACCTTCTGCAATCTCAGAGTTACCGTGGAGTGAATATATCACTGCCTTGGTGAAAAGGGAGCCACTGGCAAGACACTGCCAGATCTGGTAAATAATGGGATCAACGGTTTGCATCTTT